TATTCTTGTCTTAACTATGATATTCTTTTGTCTACCTTTATTATAAATACGGAAAACCGAAATTAATTTCAGCACGTATCGGTACATAAGCAACTGCTTGGCGCAAACGTATCCGTTTATAAGTAAATACAACAAGATCACATTGACAATGAAACGAGCAGCCTTTATTGCGTTATGTTAGGGTTTGATTTAGTTGCTCCTGTAAGACTGCATTACGCAGTAAGCAGGAGTGTTATCAAGCCTGGGCTGCGGCTTCGGCGACTCGGGATGTAAACACCAGCATACTTAAAAAGAAGTATAACTTCGCCTCCAGGTCCTTCAAAAGAGTTATTGCCAAGGCAAAGTCAGAGCACATAGGCAGAATTGGCGAGAAACTAGTTCGCCTTCCTTCGGCAATCCGTGCATTCTGGTCTCTTGCCAAAGCTCTCCAAGGGAATTTCTGTAAGCCATCACTACCATCTCTGCACAGGGAGGACGACTCACTGGCCCAAGCCGCAAAAGACAAAGCCGACATTTTAGGCTACCTTTTTGCGTCCAACTCGACTCTTGATGACGGGGGGGAAACACCGCCGACCATCCCGCTGTGTGAGTGCTCCATGCCGGATGTGCGGTTTTCACAGCCCTCGGTTCGCAAAGCACTCCTCTCCCTGGACATCCAGAAGTCGAGTGGGCCTGACGTAATCCTCCCCATTTGTGCTGAGGACGTGTGCTACGGAGTTGGCACCGGTCCTAACGTGTCTTTTCCGGTACTCCTACTCCCTAGGCGTAGTCCCGAAATCATGGAAGACAACTTTTGTCCACCCGATCCCTAAAAAAGGCGACCGCTCAGACCCTTCCAACTACAGGCCTATCGGCATCACTTCCTTGTTCTCCTAAATAATAGAATCCATTATTAACTGCCAGCTCATGCGGTACCTTGAGGATCACCAGCTGATTAGTGACCGTCCATACGGGTCCATTTTCCATTTCCATTTTCGTCGGGGTCGATCAGCTGGTGATCTTCTGGTCTACCTGACTCATAGATGGGTGGAGGCAGTAGAGTCCAAGGGGGAGGCGTTGGCCGTTAGTTTGCGAAGGCTTTCGATCGGGTTTGGCACAAATCGCTTCTTTCGAAGCTACCTTCCTATGGGCTTCCCGAGAAATTGTGCAACTGGATCACCAGCTTCCTTGCAGATCGGAGCATCAAGTTCGTTGTAGACGGTGCATGCTCCAACTACAAGCCTATTAACGCTGGTGTTCCACAAAGCTGCGTGCTATCACCAACGATGTTTCTTCTGCATATCAATGATATGTTGCTAACTGGTAACATTAATTGCTATGCGGATGACAGCACTGGTGATGCTCTATACACCGGCCGTGCCAATATTTCTCGGGGAAACGTCGCCGGGTATCGGAACAAACTTGGGACGACTAAATCTAGTCCAGTTTAATCCTCAGAAGATACTAGTTAGCGCGTTTACCGCTAAAAGGAACCCCTTTGTCGTATCTTCTCAGCTTCAAGGCACTCCCCTTCTTGCCTCAGCCAGTATCGAAATCCTAGGAGTCGACATATCGAGTGACTTGCAGTTTCGTGGTCACTTGGAAGAGAAGGCCAAATTGGCCTCTAAAAAGCTTGGCGTGCTCAGCAGAGCGGGACAGTATTTCATGTCGGCACACCGCCTGCAACTTTACAAGGGGCGGGTTCGACCTCACATGGAATACTGTTCCTATCTCTAGGCAGGGGCTCCCCAGTGCCAGCTCTTTCCACTTGACCGCATCCAGCGCAGAGCGGCTCGAATCGTTGACGACCGAGTCCTTTCCGATCGGCTCGATTCATTGGCACTGCGAAGAGATGTTGCATCCATGTGTAAAATACAACCTAATGCTACTATATTTTGTAAGGTGAAGATACGACAATTTTGATTTTTAGTCTATGATATATGTCTATCATAGTATCCACTTACCATCAGGTGGACTGTGTGCTCGTTTATCATTCAATTTCTATAAAAAAAATGATACGAAGTAAAAGCTCCTCTTAAAAAAATTATAATTGAATCTATGGACAAGAAAAATAAGAGAATATTCTTGTCTTAACTATGATATTCTTTTGTCTACCTTTATTATAAATACGGAAAACCGAAATTAATTTCAGCACGTATCGGTACATAAGCAACTGCTTGGCGCAAACGTATCCGTTTATAAGTAAATACAACAAGATCACATTGACAATGAAACGAGCAGCCTTTATTGCGTTATGTTAGGGTTTGATTTAGTTGCTCCTGTAAGACTGCATTACGCAGTAAGCAGGAGTGTTATCAAGCCTGGGCTGCGGCTTCGGCGACTCGGGATGTAAACACCAGCATACTTAAAAAGAAGTATAACTTCGCCTCCAGGTCCTTCAAAAGAGTTATTGCCAAGGCAAAGTCAGAGCACATAGGCAGAATTGGCGAGAAACTAGTTCGCCTTCCTTCGGCAATCCGTGCATTCTGGTCTCTTGCCAAAGCTCTCCAAGGGAATTTCTGTAAGCCATCACTACCATCTCTGCACAGGGAGGACGACTCACTGGCCCAAGCCGCAAAAGACAAAGCCGACATTTTAGGCTACCTTTTTGCGTCCAACTCGACTCTTGATGACGGGGGGGAAACACCGCCGACCATCCCGCTGTGTGAGTGCTCCATGCCGGATGTGCGGTTTTCACAGCCCTCGGTTCGCAAAGCACTCCTCTCCCTGGACATCCAGAAGTCGAGTGGGCCTGACGTAATCCTCCCCATTTGTGCTGAGGACGTGTGCTACGGAGTTGGCACCGGTCCTAACGTGTCTTTTCCGGTACTCCTACTCCCTAGGCGTAGTCCCGAAATCATGGAAGACAACTTTTGTCCACCCGATCCCTAAAAAAGGCGACCGCTCAGACCCTTCCAACTACAGGCCTATCGGCATCACTTCCTTGTTCTCCTAAATAATAGAATCCATTATTAACTGCCAGCTCATGCGGTACCTTGAGGATCACCAGCTGATTAGTGACCGTCCATACGGGTCCATTTTCCATTTCCATTTTCGTCGGGGTCGATCAGCTGGTGATCTTCTGGTCTACCTGACTCATAGATGGGTGGAGGCAGTAGAGTCCAAGGGGGAGGCGTTGGCCGTTAGTTTGCGAAGGCTTTCGATCGGGTTTGGCACAAATCGCTTCTTTCGAAGCTACCTTCCTATGGGCTTCCCGAGAAATTGTGCAACTGGATCACCAGCTTCCTTGCAGATCGGAGCATCAAGTTCGTTGTAGACGGTGCATGCTCCAACTACAAGCCTATTAACGCTGGTGTTCCACAAGGCTGCGTGCTATCACCAACGATGTTTCTTCTGCATATCAATGATATGTTGCTAACTGGTAACATTAATTGCTATGCGGATGACAGCACTGGTGATGCTCTATACACCGGCCGTGCCAATATTTCTCGGGGAAACGTCGCCGGGTATCGGAACAAACTTGGGACGACTAAATCTAGTCCAGTTTAATCCTCAGAAGATACTAGTTAGCGCGTTTACCGCTAAAAGGAACCCCTTTGTCGTATCTTCTCAGCTTCAAGGCACTCCCCTTCTTGCCTCAGCCAGTATCGAAATCCTAGGAGTCGACATATCGAGTGACTTGCAGTTTCGTGGTCACTTGGAAGAGAAGGCCAAATTGGCCTCTAAAAAGCTTGGCGTGCTCAGCAGAGCGGGACAGTATTTCATGTCGGCACACCGCCTGCAACTTTACAAGGGGCGGGTTCGACCTCACATGGAATACTGTTCCTATCTCTAGGCAGGGGCTCCCCAGTGCCAGCTCTTTCCACTTGACCGCATCCAGCGCAGAGCGGCTCGAATCGTTGACGACCGAGTCCTTTCCGATCGGCTCGATTCATTGGCACTGCGAAGAGATGTTGCATCCCTTTGCATTTTCTTTCGCATTTACCACGGGGGGGGGGGGTTCTTTCTCGCACGACTTCCTTGTGGAATCGATTACCATCAGCTTTTTTTACATTAGATTTTTCCGGACCGATACGACTTAGGGACCTTCAAGAAAAGAGCCTACTCCTTCTTAAAAGGCCGGCAACGCTCTGCAATTCCCCTGTTTCCCCTGGTGTTGCAGTTGTTCATGGGCGCCGGTAGTCGCTTACCATCAGGTTAGCCGCATGCTCATTTGCCCCATCTTCTAAAAAAAATAACATGAACGTCGTAATAAAATAGGGACATGAAATTTGTTTATGTGAACTAAATTTTAGGAAGACGTTAAAGTTTTTGTATTACAGTGAATTTAAAAAAAAGCGTTAGCATTTACAATATAATAATAAATTAAATTAAAAACAGATTGAAATTTGTTTTAGAGTAGAACACAGATTTATAAATCAAAAGGTATAAAAATAAACTGTTACTATAAAACGACAAATATATTTTTTGGAAATAAGATACTTGATTTATTTTTATTGACTTATATTTGATTTGACACTTGATTTATATTTTACGTAAATTACACTCACACATAGAATGAGTGTAAGTGTGTGGTGTGTGATTGAGTGCGTGACATGGATTTCTATCATAGTACGGGACAGGCCGGTCTTACGGAACGGTACATATCGTTCTAGCCCCGCAGAGTCTAAAGTCTAGTAGTTGTTTGACATATATTTTTTCTTCAAAAACGTTTACCCCCACAATAGGCACTAGGATTTCCTCCTGTATCGTGGAGGCAGTTTACAGACATAAATTGCACAAGAACAAACATCCAGACCCGGAAAAATTATTTGCAGGCCATACAAATATTGTTCCGCGCGTGATTTGAACCCGCCTGATATAGAGATAATAATGTGGAAAATAATATAACTTAGTTTTTGTTTTACGATTTAAAGGATATTATCCTAATTCACTTTTGGTCACCCTACAATCAAGCGCAGTGCTACCTCATATAAGAGTGTAAAGAACACTGGCAGCTCACACTCCCAGTGCGAAGGGTTAAGTGTTGTGGTGTCGATTGTCTCGATACGTAGGACATCATGCTGAGGTTTATCTGCTTCCTCACTCTCTTCTGGAACGCTAACTCTGGATTAGGTGTGTATTTATTCATTTGGGATATTATTACATTATAACTACTATTGGGAATATCTTAATTTTCTCCATAAATTGTTTAATTTATAATTAAAGCTGCATTGCAAAAACCCTAGACTAAGACTATTAAAATATAATACAAAGAAAGTTGTTCTCTCAACTTTCTTTGTATTATATTTTAATAATTTAATACTTCTATTTTCTATTGTCTTCTACTATCGCGAACCACTTCTAACACAAGCATTTAAGCTTACCAGGAGTGTTTGTTTACAGGGAATATTAGTACTGTTAATTACATTGCTAGCATTTAACAAAAAAAAAAGTTTAAAAAAAGTAAAACAAAAGTACCTACTTACAAAAAGAAAGTAGATTAGCCTATAAAAGTCCATAGTAGAACTTCGGGCTCTTCCATAGATTGCCTCATAGGGCGGAGTTTGCTATAGTTGCCACGCTAGGCAGGCGGGTTGGCAAGTAGTTTTCTACTATTTGAGTTGTTAACAGAAAGATGCTGCTGCCCATCTTCCGTTTTAATTTCCCTCTGTCGCCTCCTACAACATCCACGGGATGATATGGGGTAGTAAACATTCTTACACCGCCACTACACGGTACATAATTATCAAAATTCTGAATTTGATAATTATGCACGTGGTAGAGTCATGCTGCAGCTATATTAGTAGAATAGTTGTAGCACGAATGGGTCGGCTCGACCGGGGAAGGACCGCGCTCTCACAGAATACCAGCGTAAAATAGCAGCTTAATGCTGCTGTGTTTCGTACGGTGAGTGTAGAGAACCGGAGACCCTTTTTACGAGGCATCCCATATTAGTCCTCACGGATGACAACGCATTCATTTTGATTCGTAATCGAGGGTAGAAGTAGATGGTAGATGTAGATGCTATGGCCCATAGACATCTACTTCTATGGGCCATAGCAACCACTTACCATCAGGTGGACTCTGTGCTCGCTTGTCACCCTTATCCCATAAAAATATTTACGCTGTGAGTGACTTAGTTGACAAATATTTATACCGTTTACAAATTATTGATGTTCGAGTCTCTAAGGAATTTAACGGCGTACAAACAATTACCTGGCAGTTTTTCAAACTGTATGAGCGTCCCTGTGTTTATTTAGGTTCGTCAATAGTTACAGTTAGAAGTAACACTACATGATCATTAAAAATTTTAATCAAATTTTGGTTCGTAATCGAGGATAGATGTAGATGTCTATGGATCACAGCAACCACTTACCATCAGGTGGACTGTGTGCTCGTTTGTCACCCTTAGGCCGGCCACATACATACGGAATCCCGTTTCGAGATTCCGTTGCGGAATTCCGAACGATCGGCCACACACAAACGGAATCCCGTTTCGCCCGCAAAATATCGAACGGAAAACGACCGTACGTGTGTGGCGGGTCATAGATTTTATATGGACCTGCTGCGTTCGGGATTCCGAATCGGAATATCGAAACGGAATCTCGAAACGGAATTCCGTATGTATGTGGCCGGCCTTATTCTATAAAAAAAATTGTGAAACGACATAATGATGTTTGTTGACATTGTTTTTTTTAAATTAAAGCATAAAAATTGAACACAGTCAATAATAGTCCTTTGATCCTATCTGTTATTCTCGGCTTCGAATTTTTTATGATAAATCCGCTTGAAAAAAAAATGTTTACTTCTACATAACAAAGGAACATATTATCCATCTTCGATTGCATCTCTACTTAATATCGGGTGGAATCAAAGAACAGTTACGTTTAGGTGCTAGGTGGTACGTGTCCTTTTCTGACTAATACCTGTAGGTAACACCCACTTACGTATTTCTGACGTCAAACAGCAAAGCTTGCACTGCTGTATTGCGGTCAGAGCTGTAGATAGAGATCCACTATAATTACAGGCTATGAAGCATGCTATCTCAGTCATCAGAGGTGACAACGCACCTGTAGCCTTCTTTGTAGGGATGGGCAAAGGGAAAAAATATATCGATATATATCGAATCTACATTTTTAAACAGTATCGATATATATGGCGTGATAAATATCGATATATCGATATATCGTCATCATTTGCATGGTGTAAAGATAGGGTCCAAAATTTTATTTACTGGCGGTTGGGCGACGAAATACAATATTTTAAAATATATCGAAATTGATACGAATTCATTACTCTAAAATAAATATCGATAAATCGATATATTGCGTTATAAAATATCGACGATATATATCGATATATTTCTTAAAAATATCGGTATTTCGATATATCGATATTTTTAGCCCAAGCCTACTTCTTTGTTTGAAGTTGGCTGCATGCGTCCGTGCACTGCAGTAGTCATTTAGCATCAGACGGAATGTAAATTGATTTGTCAATTCAGTTTATTAATATGGCAAAATATATATAGTATAAAGTTTTTTTTTATAGGATAAGGGTGACAAACGAGCACACAGTCCACCTGATAGTAAGTGGTTGCTGCGGCCCATAGACATCTAAACCTATCCTCGTTTGCGAATCAAAATGCAGATGCGTTGTCACCCGTGAGGACTAAGATGGAATGCCTCATTTCCAGTAAAAAGGGCCTCTGGCCACCTGCACTCACCAAGCGAAATGCAGAGGTGAACCTCTACTTCACGCTGGTATTCTGTGAGGTCGAGGTACCACCGCGGTTCGAGCCGGCCCATCCGTGCGACAGCAGAAGCTGCCGCGTGGCTCTACCACTGTTAAAAAACTTTATACTAATAAATAGTAAAAAATTGACATATTATGTATCGTGATGATCCATTATACAACAATATAAGCCGTAGTTATTATGTATGGGTGTGTACCTGTGTATTTATATGTGTATATATACTGAGTTCTTATATTTGAGAGTGTATATCTGTATTAAGTTTTTTTTTGCATATTGATACTGCTGAGTAGTTTGGCAGACTGTAAAAGTTTAATAGTGTAAATTAAAATAATTATATTAAATAAATTTAATAAAATATGTGGGACAGTAGACAAGTAGTTGATAATAGCTAAAAAGTATAGTTGTAAAATGTTTTTATCAATACGATATGAAATACTGTGGAGTGACATACACCTTTTCTTGAATACTTTTTTCTTTTTTTTATGTCCTACGTGAACTTTACATAAATTAAGGATCATAAATTAACCGACTACAAAAAAATTCACTTTCTCAATTCCACGGTTTTTTATTTGTTGTTTTTTTTTTATATCTACGTCAATTGTGAAACGATTATAATTTTTGAATAATTATAACTTTTAACAAAAAGTAAAAACCGATTTATACTTGCTAAAAAAGAAGTTATTTATTTGCTAACCTTAAGTGTGAAATATTTTCTTCAAATGTATATGGGATCACCCTTGAAATATAACCTGTTTAATAAAAAAAGAATCGCTTCACAATCTGCGAAGGAATCGCGTAACATACATACAAACATTGAGTTATATGTACTAAGTACTAGAGAAGCCATTCCAAATTGATTCCAAACAAAAATTGTGTCCTACTCTATGTCTTCGCGCATGCGCGGGAGTAGTAGTCGCGCATGCGCGAAGACTTTAATTTAATATAAAATAAGATATTATGTACATATATAAAATAAATATAAGAATTTTTTTATAAAATATCTTAATTTAATCTAAACAAACATACTTCTAAATAAAATGTAATAATAATTATTTTATGGAATTCACAAATCTTCAATTTACGCAATATTTAGTTTGTAGGGATTGCACTACAGTTCAGTTGAACATAGTCAATGTTCGGAATGGCTTCTCTAGTACGTAGTACATATAACTCAATGCATACAAATAAAAAGAAAAACACACACTATACACTCGGATTAAAAACCTGCTCCTTTTTAAAGTCGATTAAAAATTAAGTAGGCTTTACCTTTAAGGTGGTCCCCTGGTGGTGGATGAAATATTTAACTATTTTGTAAACTGCCGTGTCTATAACTATATTCAAGTTGTTAAGTTGAATTTTTTATATGGTTTACTGCTTGGTCCACTCAAAAGTGTTAAATAGTTATGCGAGCCTTTGGTGCATAAGCTACCAAGGTTGATGTTAGTAAAGTTACTGTTATAAGTATTAAAATAAATATCGTGTATCACTCCTCTATAAATATTTGAGCTTATTTAGAATTAATTGGAATATAATAGTATAGGTAGTGAGTAATACTGTAATAAGGTTAAAGTCAAAAAAGTCCCGCTGGGAATCTTGCTGGTTCTTCCCAGGACAGAGATTTTTTTCCGAACCAGTGGTAACAGTTAAATTACTTTAAATAAGTATTCTCCTAATTTCCATATTGAATAAAAATAATTCAATTCTATTTTAAAGGCCTAACTATTATTTATATTATAATAAACCGTAAACATGTCTTCTATGTCAACAAAGCTATAGAATTATGCCGAGTTCGCGGTTGCGTTTGGAAAATTATACAAGGTTTTTAATATGTATATTATGTTTAATTATTTTACATTAACCTAATGAACACGTTCGTGTCACTAGTACGTAAGTTTTCTTAACCTTGGCAGAGAAACAATCTTAATAAGCATCTAGCATCTATGTACGTAACACAAGTATACTTTAATATTTGCATATTTCCTTCTCGTTTTCTGCCTGCCCTGCCCATATCATGCCGTGGGTGTCGTAAGAGGCGATAAAGGGAAACAAATGAGGAGATAGGCAGCAGCTTCTTCCAAATAAAGATTAAAAATAAAAATAACTAACTAATAATAACGGTTGCCAACCCGCTTGCCAAGCGTGGCATAGTAGTTAGTTAGTTAAGCGCTGGCTTAGAATAATAAAACAAAAACTTTTATAACATAATTTTCCTAACAAGTTTTTTTTATATTTTATGTCAGACTGTTACACAATACATTTTTTGGATTTATTAAAAAAAAAGTAGTTTTTTTCTAGCGTTTAATTTAACTTTTTAATTCCCGACGTTTCGGGCGCTTTACCACCCGTGGTATGGTTTGGGAATTCCCGACAATTTCAAAGT